CGAACATATAACAAGGACATATGCTCAACTATGTTCATAGCAGCCTTGTTTATAATAGCCAGGAGCTGAAAAGAACCCAGATGTCCTTCAACTGAGGAATGGATTAAAAAAATGTGGTATATTTACACAATGGAGCATTACTCAGCTATTAAAAACAATGAATTCGAGAGGTTCCTAGGTAAATGGATGGAACTAGAAATTATCCTGAGTGAGGTAAGCCAATCACAAAAGAACACACATGGTATTCACTCACTGATTATTGGATATTAGCCCAGAACCTTGAAATGCCCAAGATGCAACTCACAGGCCACATGAAGCTCATAAAGAAGGAAGACCAAGTTGGGGTGATTCGGTCCTTCTTAGAAGGAGCAACAAAATACTCAAGGGAGCAAATATGGAGACAAAGTGAGGGACAGAAACTGAAGGAGGGGCCGTCTGAAGACCATTCCACCTGAGTATCTATCCCATGTGCGATCACCAAGGGTGGATGCTGATGTGGAGGTCGGGAAGTGCATGCTGATAGGAGCCTGATGTGGATATCTCCTTGTAGGTCTTCAGGAGTCTGGTGTACTCAGAGGCAGATGCTCACAACTGGCCATTGGACTGATCGTGGAGTTCTCAGTGGAGGAGTTAGAGTGAAGACTGAAGGAGAGCTGAGGGGATTTGCGGCACCATGAGGAGAGCAGCAATGCCAGCCAACCACAGCTCCCAGGGTCTGGACCACCAGCCTGGGAGCACTTAGGGAGGGATCCAGCACTTCAGTTGAATATGTGAGGGTGGAGGGCCCTGCTGGGCATAGGTGGAAGAGGAGAACTTTGACCTCATGAAGGCTGGATGCCCCAGGGGGTGGGAATTTTGGGAGTGGGGAGGTGGTAGTGGGGGGGTGGATAGAGGTTACATCCACAGAGAAGAAGGAGGAGGGGTGAGGGGATTGGGGATTCCTGGGTGGGTGGGGGATGGGGTAAGGGGACAACATAGGAAATGTAGATGGAACATCCAATTAAAAAAAAAAAGAAACTAGAGTTAGGCCCTATTGCTGAAGACACCACATATTTTTTTGTTACAGGACTTAAAGAACCCAAATAGGAAGAGTCATGCCATTTCATCTATGCTGGTTAGGTATCCTAGTATTAGGACATGGTATGAGGCCACTTGTGGAGAAAAGCCATCAATGGAATTAATCCCTGGTGCTGAGCCTCAGTGTTACAATACTGACCTGCCAGGGAAGTCATGCTCCCAGTGCAATACTTGCCTGAAGATTATAGAGTAACCAATTGTTCTATGATTATTACTGAGAAATTTCTGATTAAATTTGAATTCCACAGGAGGGAATTCATAACTAGTATTGTAAATGTCATCTAAGTCACATGGTGTAGAAGGTCATGGGCCCCGAGAGAGGACCTATTTCTGGTGTTTTGCTAAATGTACATATTGTTAAACTGCCTTCTGAATATGTTTATACTCAGATTAACCTCAACCTTATCCAAATAAGCTTTTCCATGCAGTGGTCAGCAATTAACATAGAGACTCAGAGGCAAAATTCTGATTAAATGTGTGTTGATTACTTAGTCCTAAGTGGGACATCTAAGTGAATTTACCAAGGCTCTGGGAACACTTCAAGTGAGTTGGCAGAAAAAAATGAAATAGCAGGAGGACTGGAAGGAGTGCGGTGAGATGTGCTTTTCTGAACACCACATGACTGTTGTACTAATGAGCTCAATACAGATACAGTTGCTTGTACAAGACATGCACAGTGGCTAACAGGATCAGTCAGTTTCTGCCAGGCAGCACTAACTGGTGTGAGAGGTTTAAATAAAACAACAATGAGTAGCAGACAAATCAACACCAATGAAAACACCAAAAAAAAAAAAAAAGAAAACCAACAACAAAAACAAAAGGGGAAAGGATATGAGAGTGGGAGGGCATGTGCTGGAGGGAGTTCTCGGGGAGTTGGGAGTGGATATGATCAAGCTATACTGTATAAAGTATGAAGTTTTCAAACAAAACAAATTTATTTAGACCTGCAGAACCAGACACAGCTCTCCTCCACTATGGTTACAGCACAGTAGCTGCCAGTGATCCTGATCTCCTTCTGAGTCTTTCCTCTATATGGGACTCCCCTGATTACACTTTATTTCATCCAGGTGGTGTGGAGACAAATAATCTACCTGAACTCACTGCCATCGCCACACCCTGTACCTCAAGTATGCAATCCTGATAGGCCCTCAGGGGCTTCAGAGGGATCATGACCAAATTGTTCTTCTCTCTTTGGCACTCACTAGATCGTAGCACTGTCCCCACTCTAGTCCAGTCATATGGCATAGACACAATTTTAAACTACACATTCTCTGTGTGTTCCCTGACACAGCCATCGGGCAATTCTTGTTGGGCCATGGCTGTATGCATCATGCCTATCCTCCAGGTGCACCCTGTGCTCAGGCTCAACTTGGTGAGTCTGCCTGCAGTTGCCATGACTGCACCCTTGCCAACCACCAGACCCACCCCAGGACCCACAAGAATAATTCTAGCCCAGGCTGGAAAGGTCCACCCACACACTTCTTAACCCCAGGTTCAGGCTGGGGAATACATGCCATGTGTCAGCTCAACTTGGTATGCCTACGTCAAACATAGGGCAACAACAACAACAAAAGAGCAAAACCCATATGCCCAGGTCTCATTGCAATAACAAGAAGAAAAATCAAGACAATATTTACTGCCTCCAAATCCACCAGTTCAAAGAAACATTCTCCAGTGAGGATTACCAAGATGAACCAGGACAAGGAACTTAGTTGGGAATCATAGACCTCAGAGAGTTACGGAGTTTAAAGATGCAGAGAAAAGGAGCTCAATGAACTTGAAGAGAATGACCTCAAGGATGGCAGGTGCCCAAGTGATGTGCAATAGAACAAAATTCAACTGAATGAAGATCAGATTGAAAAACAACAACACAATTAGAAAATTCACAGAAAGTCTAATACATAGAATGCATCAAACAGAGGATAGACTATAAAGCATAGGAATTAGACCACATAAGTAAATAATATTTTTAAAAATTGATAAAAAAAAAAACCCAGATGAACATGTAGGAAATGTGGAGATACCTCTAAATGACAAATCTTATAGTTACATGCAAAGTAAATGGGTGGATGGGAATCTCAGGTCAATACACAGACCAGATCTTCAACAAGATCACAGAAATCAGGAAAGAAACTCGTACAGGTACAAAAAGAAAAAAAGCAAACAAAACAAAACAAACAAATAAAAACAAAAAACCCCCAAAACAAAAAGCAAACAAACAAAAACAATAAAACAATAAAAAGGACCAGAAAACAACTTTCCAAACAAATAGTAGAGAAGTAGAGATTATTGAATGCTACAAGAGAAAAAAATTCTCTGCACATAAGTCACATCTGATGGCAAAGATATCATCAGACTGATATGAAGCCAGAAAGTTGAAGTCAGAGGAATTAATTCATTTCCTAGTGTTGATGGATATGAAGTTTGTGCTTTTCACATTCTTTAACTCGGCAAGGCTTTTAGTTGTGGGACTGGGACTCCAACCCACCCACAAAACCTTTGACCCATAAGCTGTACTACATGAAAAATATGGTTGAGGGAGTGGCCAATCAGTGAATGTTTTAATTTGAGACTAGCCACAAGAGGGAGCCCATCCCTACAGGGCCTGGATGGCCAGGAACTGGAAGCTTGATGGCCCAGAGACCTAGGGTAGAAACAATCATGACTTCACAATGAAATGATTCCTAACGATACTCTGCTGTACTCAGAGATTGGTACCTAGCTCTATCACCATCTTCCTCCTGAAGCAGATGGGAGAAGATGCAGAGACCCACAGGCAGACATATAGGCAAAGATACAGGCTAGTTAACCTTTTGTTCTGCCTCCAGACTTGTTAGATTTCAGTTAATTTCTCCTTTAAGATATGAAAATGTCTCCCATACTCATGGTCTGAGCTCAGTAGTTTTGAGTAGCTATGTAGGATAGATGATTGCATGTTGGGGTTTTGTCTTTCTTCTCATTTCTTTTCTTCTTCTTCCTCCTCCTCCTCTTCCTCCTGCTTCCTCTCTCTCTCTCTCTCTCTCTCTCTCTCTCTTTCTTTCTTCCTTTCTTTCTTTCTGTTTTTGTGGGTCTGAGTAAAGAGGAGGAATGTCCTATGGGAAGGAGACAGCAGTTGTGTGTTGGTCAGAGAGGCAGGGGTAGGAGGCAGGAAGAACTGCTGGGGTTCTTCATGCTTACCCTCATACCCTTCTCTAATGGTCACATGGGGGAAAATGAGGCATACACAAGTGCTGCTGGGAAACCCTCCTCTGGGACCATGAAGTTCACACACCTCTACTGAGTCTACTCTGGTCCTCTGTATGAGTCTCTATTTCTTTCTGAGCTTCAGCTCCCCCATGTGTGGCTCTGAGCTTCTTTTTGTCCCACAGGGTTGCACACTATATATAATAACAGCAGCAATAACTTGGGCTTGTACTTAAAATTATTGAGCATTTCTTGAATATCAGACTGTTTAATATTTGATATGTATTACCACTCAACCGATAGAGCCTAAGGAGACAGCTTTTCATCTTCCTATTTCCAAGATGGATATATTTAGGAAGGCTGGAGTCTGCCTCTGCCCAGCTCCAAAGTTTGGACTTGTAACATTGGTGTTGCTTATTGTTCTTCTCAAAAGGTGGCTTGAACCCTGTGCCAACCTTCTCAGAGACCACTGTATGCCTGACTCACTCCACTACAGCTTCAGGGTACTCCTTCCAGGGGGCTTTGAGCATCACATGGGAATCTGAGTATGCACTTCTGTAGAACAAAGTGTTCTCTAGAGTTCAGTTAGGGGCTTCTGAAAGCCTTCCTGTTCCAGCCTCTCATGGAGCCTGTGAATTCTTTTGACAGGAGGCTAGCCTGCCCATGGAATCCTTGGCAGGAGGATTCAGTGGTGATGAAGTGGCCACAGAGTGATCGGTTGGGGTTCTTAGTGTACTTACCTAGCTTCAAGTCCCTCCTCTCTGACTTGACTCTGTGCTTTATCAGCTCCACCTCTGTATGTTTCTTTGTTTTGAAGGTGGGGTCCACTTCCTCTTGACCTTCATACTGAGCTACCTTTGTGTTACTTTTCTGCTTGGATTGAGATTTTTCCATGGTAACAGAGCCCTCAGATACTGCTTCTCTGAGCAGTCTGTGCTCTTATTGCTTCAAGACTTTCTTCTGTTGTTGCAAGTAAGAGACCAGTGCCTTCGTGTCTCTACCATGTACTTCTGTTCTGGGAATGGGTGTTTTATCAGAATTGATAGCAGAGACCTGGTAATAAAAGAAAGCAGAATAACCTCTACACAGTCAGATGGACCTCCGAGCAGAATAATTGAAAGACACAAGTCTTTTCTGAGGAGTGGGTACTGTGTGTCCAGATGCAGGGGCTTGGGCTTCATAGGGCAGAAATGGGAACTCTAGGACAGGAGTGTTTAACAGTGATCATGTTCTTTAAAGTTTCACAGCTGAAGAATGCCAGTGGATCTTCTTGCTACTGTGTTGGCTTTCCTGAAGGCAAGCTTAACATTATACTGAGCTGGGGTTTCTTAGCTTGTCTAAGGTTCTTCTTTTAGGTCATTAAGGTTATTTATTTTATCCTAAGGACAGATGAAAAGAATGTGGTGTGTGTGCTTTCTTACTGATTGTTTCCTGTGGAAGGAGGATGATGGAGGGTGGAATCCATCCTGCGCCTAGGGATTAAGGGGGTGTGTACATTGTGGGTAGACTTCATGTGCTGCAAAGAAATTTTGAACTTGATCTGCTTTCCTGGATCAGTCATGTGATTGCTGCCGTTTACTTCTGGAGAAACCTTTGAAACAGGTATAAGAGAGGAGGCTGTGAACTGTGAAATGAGACGGAGCAGAGGGGACCCAGTAGGCCCCTGGCCAGGGAAGCCATTGTCCTAATGTAGACCTAGTGATGTCAGTGATTTTATCCAGGAGGACCTTGTGTATAACTTTTAAAGGACGAGGGAAAATGATGTATGAGCATAAGGAGAAATAGAGAGTTCAAGGGAAGGAGCCGAGTCAGGGGGAGCCAAAAGCCCATCTTAGGAAGACATTATTCACTAGATTTTTTCTGTCTGGTACTTCATTAAATCTTTGGGTGCTGTTCACCCCTTGGGTTTGTTGGTTCATAACAGTGTTGTTCCTGAAGTAAGGCACTAGTCCCCACAGTAGCAGTATGTAGGAGATCGAGTTCTCTTAACTTTGGAGAACCACAGCATGGAAGACTTGGCTCAGAGTAGGCAGAGAACTTGATGGAGAGGGAGGAGTGGGAAGGTGGGCATCTAGAGAGTGAGTGGGAAATGTAGAAGTAAGAGGAGGGAGGGATGCAGGTCAGAGCATGATGGTTGGGAGAATTAGAGGATGTGAATGAAGAGATGAGGGGTTGGGGGATTCTGGGGTACCAAGGACAGGATGATAGGAGGCTAGAAACACCAGGATGGAAGATGCATCGGGGACCATGCAGGAGAGTCACTATCCCATGTCCTCATCTTCTTCCTTTTCTAATGTCCCAGTCTAAGGAGATCAATATGTCAGCCATTACTGTGACTCAGGATAAGGTAGGAAGATACAGGACAGAGGGAGAGTAAAGGCTCAGCCTAAGTTCAGATGAACTTCTTTGAAGGAATCTTTAGAAGTCTTCTGTCCCTGGTCAGCACACAGGGGGAACAATGCTAAGCCAACTAACAAATTGATGGAAGGCACATTACCTAGAGAGGGCCAAAGGGCCACATATATGCAGGGGACAGACGAACACAAGACTTCATAGAGGCCCTGATGTAAGGATAAAAGGAACATTAGTTCTGTGTCCTTGTCCAGGAGTGAACTTGGTAAGGCTTGTCTGACACTGAAGCCTGTGCCTCAGAGGAATCAAGAGTATAATAAAGGGGACTCACTCTGACCCCTGTGCTGTGGTTATCAATCCTAAGGCAACTGTGTTGAGGTTTCCTGTGCTTTCTTCACTAACTTTGTCTATCTTAGCTCTCTGGGGACCTTAGCTCTACCATACCACCCCCTGCAAATATCATATATGATACTTAATATATATCTCATCTCTGGTCCTCCCTCTGAATACCTTGTCATTCAGAATACTTATTCCTGGAGATTCAAGGTAGACATAGGGTGTAGAATAGCCTATCACAGGAGCAGGCACATGAACTAGACAGGTGAATCCAGCAGACTATCACCCATCAGAGCTGGCCTGCAGATTCTCCAAGCAGAGGCTGGGGCCCTGGGCCCTGGTTTTCAGGACGAGGTCCCCATGTCTGCCACAGTATGTTTTAGTGGAGTGAGGCCAGCCCTTATCCTCCCACAACTAAGTGTTTTGGTGGAATCTGGGTCCCACTACTCACCCTGCTTCTCTATGAGGCCCACTGGAGTGTGTGTCCTTGAATAAGGCTTCTCAGCTCGGAAACTGTTCTTCAAAAGTGAAAGAGATTCTGGCCCATTTTCAGGAAGGCAGGCGTCAGAGAGCCACAGATGTACTTCCTCTAAACACTGGGAGTGGAAGTTGAACATTATTCAGATTGTTCCTGTTAAGTCTCTGCAGGTGCCTGAGCTGGAGGAGTCAGGCTGAGAGCTTCTTCCGGGTTTACAGAAGCCCTGCCTGCCTGACCACAGGACTCATGTCTGAGCTCAGTTCCCTCTTCCATTACTGTGGGACCCGAGGTTTGCCAACAGGTCCTAGGTCAGCAATAATTCCTAGATCCCCTCAGATTTGTGCTCTGAATATCTGTGCTTCTCTCCTTCCCTGTAGCCTGCCTGATCACAGGCTGTTCATTTCAGTAAATGTATCTTAGGCTACAAACCCTGTCTATGTTTTTTTTGTGTGTGTGACTTCTAAAGTCTCCTAAATGTCACATTCAGGTTTTGATTCTCACCAACACTGTATTCTTTCTCTGTAGGTATGTGGTGTGTGTGCATGTTCGTATGCAAGTGGACTCACATTCGTGCACATGTGTGTGACCTGAAAGCTTATGGATGTGGCTAGTCCAGCTAACCTGGAATACTTCCTGTTTCACCTTTCTGAAAGCTGGGATTACAAGCCTGTAACCATGCCCAGGAGGCATTTGTGAGGGTGCTGGGGATCAGACCACGTGTCCTCAGGCTTGCATAGCAAGTGCTTATCCACTGAGCCATCTCCCCGCCCGGCACCATCTTATCAACACTTCTGTTATCCTATTCCTCATTGTGGCCAAGGAGTGTGCTGGTCCAGCCAGTCTTAGAGTCACACATCTAATAGTGAATTACTTTAAATATGTTCTTCACTTATATCTTTCAATCCTCCCTGTCTTGTTCTAAGTGACAAACAGGTTCCTTCCAGTTTTTCACAGGGTTCTACATGACCTGCTCTTTTCTGCCCTGCCTACTTTCTGGTGATAAATCGTACTTCAAGCTTCTCACTTCCTCTGCCATGGGTTTGCTGCTCTACCTTTCTATTCCTTGAACACACCAGGAACGTGCTCACCTCAGGACCTTTGCACTGGATTCACCATTGTCGTGGGATGACTTCCCTCATCTCTGAAGTTTGTTGTCTACTTTCTGAAGTACCACTGCCCTTCCAGCATTACTCTGATTTATTCTCCTGCTGATTCTTGTTTCTTTCCATCATGTCCACCTACAAAGAGAATGGGAGCTCTTGGCTGACAGCACTTGGCCTGCTGTGGTGATTGTTAAGGCCCCTATGCCCAAGTTAGTGCCTGGCCCACAGTATCAGCACAAGAGATGTTTACAGAGGTATGGTTAGATTTTAATATTAACATTTATTTATTTTTGTGTGTTTATGTGAGTGTCTGTGTTGTGTACACGTACATGTGTGTGTGTGTGTTATATGTGTACGTTCATGCCATTGTGTACATGTATAAATCATAAGACATCATTCAGAACTCAGTTCTCTTTCCACCATGTGGAACCCTGTGATTGAAACCATTACATTAGGTTTATTACAAGTGCCTGGTATGTCAATGTTATTATTAATTTTTAAAAAAAATTTATTAGTTGAGAATTTCACATCATGTATCCCACTCCCACTCTGTTTCCCTCAGAGCTGGTTCATTCGTGCCCATGCCATCAGGGCCAGCTCCACCCTGCTGTCCTGGTGAGGTGCATGGCCCACTTTCCTGAGTGCTTCAGTAGGCAAAGGGCTGGGCTGTCTTTTCTGCTCTAACATCCTTGGAGGAAGCTCACCTCAACCCTGGCAACCAGGTCCAGCTCTGCCGTGATGCCCAGGTGCAGTGCAGGGCCTACTCTCCCAAGTGTTGCAGTAGGTGAAGGATAGGGACAGTTCTCATACTCTCCAGACCCTGGGGCCAGCTCTCCATCCTGGCATGGGAGGAGACAAGAGCATAGCCTACTCATCTATGCTCACAACCTCAGGACGAGCTAGCCTGCAACCACCACATACAGGGCTAGCTCTGCTGTACTGTGCAGTCCAGGCACACTTTCCCTCACTTGTGCAGCAGGTGAGGGTCAGGCCAATTTTTCCATATTCTCTCCAGTACTCCAACTGCATAGGGGCAGATTCAGTTCTCTGGCTCTGATGGCCCCAGGACCTGTTCTCCCATGATGCTCAGGGGAAGGGTGGGACCAGTTCTTCACAGTCCTCAGACATCAATATATCCCTGGTCAGCAGACCAGATCAGGGATTTCTGCCTGGCGTTTGGTGGTAATTGATCCCTGCTACTGAAGGACAATAAATCAAGATGTGCCCCTAGAGACAGCACAGGATACAGCTCCACCATGGTCTCAGGTAGCATCACTGGCCACTCACATCAGGTTGTCCCTCAGTACGTTCGAGTCCAGTTCTTCCTCTCTTCATTGTGCCTACATCCTTCTGTTTCTCTCTTACATTTCTCCACCACATACTTGCTTGTCTTAGTGGCATGAGAGATTTGAATGTCTAGTGTGGTTTCAGATTGTCTCAGGTGTGCAATACCCACCCTATGCTTTAAGGCTCTGGACAGGGATCATCTTAGGCATGGTCTGCTCCAAATAGCCCTTGAAGCCTGCACAGTGCAGACTGGTGTTCATCTCAGGCTAGCTTCCTGTCCAGGCCCTATGGTGTCAGACTGGTAGTTGTCTAGGGCTAGCACCCCACCTGGTCAAGCTCCCCACCTGGACTAACTCCCAACCTTAGGAGTCCACAGGACTTGTGGTTGTCTTTGGTTTTCTTTGTTCAGGTTTGTTAGTCCACTAATCATTCAGATGTCCATAGGTCACAACACTGAGCCTAGACAACTGAGCCTCTCAACTCTGCAACCTACTGATGCACATGTGACACAGCAGCTATAACTACAACAACTCTAGGGGTAGATTTTCTGTGAATCTTTCCCTGGGACAACATGATTGATAGAGAATGGCAATGTCCAGTGTGGGTGGTGCCATTCCTGAGCAGGTGGTCCTTGGTCATGTAAGAAAGCAGGCTGAGCAAGCCCTGGAGAGAAAGCCAGTGAGAAACATTCCTCCATGGCCTCTGCTGCAGTGTGCGGCCTTTGGTTCCTGCCCTGTCTCCTCAGGAAAGACCATAAGCTGTACAGTGAAGTGAATGTGTTCCTTCCCAAGCAGCCTGTGTGCAGTCTTGGTGTTTATCTCAGCAACAGAAAGCAAATGAAGACACATCCTATGTTTCAAGAAGTTTCCCTCCAAGATGAAGATTTCATCTCTCACAAAATTGTTATACACCAGTGAGTAACAGTCAGAACCATCCTTTAAGAGACCTTAGAGATTTGTTCTTTTGTTTTTCTATCCTTAATTTTATTTTATCATTTTTTCTCACACAATATATTTTAATCTTTCAGACCAACACAACTCCCAGAAACAATGAATAAAATACCATCTTTTCTGACACCCTTTTCAGCATTTATGTAGTGTAGTATGACTTGCCATTCTGGCTGTTCTGAGACACTTTGGTGGTTTGAGTAAGATTGACCTCCATAACCTCATATATTTGAATGTTTGCCCCTAGTTGGTCCAACTGTTTGAAAAGGAGTAGAAGGGGTGTCCTTGTTGGAGGAGTGCATCACTGGGGCAAGCTTTGAGAGTTTAAAATACTACACTGTTCATAATGTCTGTCTCTGTCCCTGCCTCTCACTGTGCTTCAGGATGTGACCTCTCAGCTAAAGTCCCAGCACCATGCTTGCCTGTCTACTGCCAAACTCCTAGCCATGATGATCATGGACTCCAACCATGAGCCCCAGACTACAGCCTTTTAATTTCATATGGTCCCATTTGTCAGTTTGCCTCATTTCCCTGATGACTAGAGTCCTCTTCAGAAAGGACTCCCCTGTGCTGCTCCATGAAGTGTTCCCCTCCTTCCCTCAGATAGTTTTGGGTTCAAGTCTGTGTAAATGTCCTTGGTGCACTTGGGGCTGAGTGCTCTGCAGGGTGAGAGGTCAGTCTTACACACACACACACACACACACACATAAACACACACACACATATATATGTATGTATACACTAGAATATGTATACACAAGAAAACACTACAATAATTTAAATTGTGTTAATATAGAATAAAAACTCTCTCTGGAAAGATGATTAATTTACCACAAAACATCATGATCTGATTTATAATCTTAGTCTCTTTTGAGGTTCGGTTCCAGATGTCTTAAGATCACCCACATGCTCCATGTATTTTGTAGAACAATTTCTAATTTCTCTTGTACTATTTAGACTTGAGACCAAAACAGAAACAATAAATAAAATTAAAGGTCTTGAGTTTAAAAAATCCGATAATCTGTTTTAAGTAAGACTTGATAATATACATTTTTATATTTAGTCTGTATCTGTACATAGTGTGTACTCTCATTTTCAAGTGCTGAAATATTTGTTGATCAACTGTTGTGTGACTTATCTGGGGAGATGTAAAAGTAGCACATGCCCCTAACTTCTAAACTTTCCACAGCACAAAGAATGACTCATTAAGCTCATCTTAAGGAATAGAAATGAATTTAATAGAGATAACTCATGGAACAATAGAAGACCACAGACTCCCCTATTCCATCCCCCCTCCTCCTGCTTCTATGAGGATGTGCCCCCACCCACGAACTCACTCCCACCTCCCTACCCTCTAATTCACCCACTCTGGGATATCCAGACTTCATGGGACCAAGGACCTCATTTCCCACCTATGTCCAACAAGACCATCCTCCCCTACCTATACAGCTGGAGCCATGGGTCCCTCCCTATGTGCTCCCATGCTGGAGGTTTTGACCCTGGGAGTTCTAGTTGGTTGGTATTGTTGCTCTCTCCATGGGCCTGCAAACCCCTTCAGCTCCTTCAGCCTTCTCTCTAACTTCTCCATTGGAAACCCCATGATCAGTTCAATGATTAACTGTGAGCATCTGACTCTGTATATGTCAAGCTCTGGCAGACCTCTAAGGATACAGCTATATCAGGATCCTGTCAGCATGCACTTCTTGGCATCCACATCAGCATCTCCCTTTTGGAA